CGCCAGGCCAGAGACTAAACTGCACGATCCCCCCGACATGCCAAGACTGCACACCCTCCTTCACCGCCCAGTGCTCGGTCAGAGGGCAGGGCAGCGGCCACCAGGGCGCCAGCTGTGCGGGGTGACAGCCCCGTCTTCACACGCCACACAACACGCACGTGCGAGCCCTGTGACTGCGCACCGGGACCTGGTGCACGAGGTGGAGGGGAGGACGGGGGGCACTTCTCCCCTGAAAGCCATGCCCCTCACGCCACTCAGGAGCCATTCACACTACAACATGATGACCTTCTGGGAGGTTCCAGGGACACGCGCTCCGACCACCTAACCTGCAATGTGTCCCGCTGCCCCACATGTCAGGGCTGGTGTGGGTTTTAAAGTCCCATCCCAAGTCTATCAAGCCTCAGCCCAGCTCCCTGAGGACTCGAGGATGGTTGAGGGCTCCTGTCAGCATGAAGGCGGGCGATGCTGCATTCACACATCCAGTGTCTGCTCCGTGCCTCTCCGGAGGCAGGCCCTGTACCAGGTGCTGGGTGTACGCTCGGGAAAAACGAACACACCAGGCCTGGGCGTGGCTCAGTGGCTGAGCATCCATCTATGAACCAGGAGGTCACGGTTCAATTCCTGGTCAGGGCACAGGCCCGGGTTGCGGGCTCGATCCCCAGTGTGGGGCGTGCAGGAGGCAGCTGATCTATGATTCTCTCTCCTCATTGATGTTTCTGTCTCTCTCTCCCTCTGAAATCAATACAAATATACTTAAAAAAAAAAAGACAGGAAGAAAGAAAAGAAGCCAAACAACTGCTTACATACGCAGGCGGTGCTATCGCCCCAGTAGCGCCCCCTGCAGGGAAAGTCCACCAATAGGTACAGAATGAGACAGACCATCGCTGTGGAATTACACCGGGGCAGGTCTCTGTACTCACAGGAACTGCACGTGGTTGGGGGCGCTGTCGGGGGCGTCCCAGTAGACTCTCACTTCTGTCTTCTTGTGCGCATTGGTGTGGCTCACCGCTGACCCCTGTGATGAATGGAAAAGAGCTCTCCGTCAGCCCCTGGCCGGCTCAGCAGGGCCGGAGCGGTCTCATTTGCAAAGGGACTTATTAGTGCATGGCCTCAGCCTCTGGTAGAGACCTTTTTATTAGAATAGGGCCTCGCGTACCCAGTACATGCAGGTTGGCTTGGGAGACCAGACTAGCTCTGGCTCTGTGAGTAAATCCCAGTCCTCGGAAATGCAAGAGCTAAGGAGAGCCCGGCCCAGGTGGCTCAGTGGTTGAGTGTTGACCTATGAACTAGGAGGTCAAGGTTTGCTTCACAGTCAGGGTACGTGCTCTGCTTTCAGGCTTGATTTCAGTGAGGGGCATGCAGGAGGCAGCCGATCCATGATCTCTCTTATCATGATGTTTCTATCTCTCTCCTTCCCTCTCTCTGAAATCTATAAAAACACATTTTTTTTAAAAAGGAACTAGAGAGAGTTATGAATACTAGGTGCATTTTGCTTGCTATTTCATTTATACTATAAATGTATATTCCTTCCATTCATACATGCAACTAGTACACAGAAGACTCATCAAAAGGAAAAGTATTCCCGCCTCCAAATAGGTGGTGATTATATTTGCATAATTCCTTTCTCTCAATCTTACCTCCCTCTTCCTTCCACCTGGCAGATGCCCTGTGGCCCAGCTTTGGGGTTGGGTCCTCCGAGCAGCTCCCTCTCCATCCCCTCGAGCTTGTGTGCGGCTCCCTAGCTATGCTTCCCCCGTCCCGCGGGTGCTTCTAGACTACGTCATCTCACTGTCCTACTCATGTGTCTGTCCTACATCCATGTCCTACCCGTGTGCCATGTCACATGTCCGCATGCTTTACTCGTGTCCCCGGCTATGAGCTCTCCAAGACAGTTCCTGGGATAATAAATGTTTACTAAACAAACGAATGAATGACAAAAATTGAATTTCCGTCCCTCTCTAGAACTCTATCTTCAACATTTACACCTTCCAAAATCAACACGCTAAGAGTCAATAGCACAGGAAGTATTGGGAGCCATACACTCTTCAAGCTCTGCCCTGCCTTTCCTAGGATGCGCATGTGTAAAGCAGATTGCCAGCAGTAAAACTGGGGGTGAAGGGGGAGTTGGGTCCCTGGGCATCTGTTTAGATGTTTGCATTACGTGGGTGATGACGTTTATCTTGTACGCGCCAAGGCCCGGGGAAACAGACAGAAATCAGTTTTAAACCAGCCACAAACCTGCTTCTCTCCGCAAGTCAGAAGCTGGGACTCCTGGCTGTCAATCAGCGTGAAGGAGCCCACGGGAGCGCCGCTCGGATCCTCAGCATCCCGGGCCTCGATGAGAAAGCCCTTAAACTCCGGCCCCGACACAGCAACTGTGGCAACAGAGAGATGGGGAAGAGGTTTGGCACCGCCCAGAGGGAACTGCTGGAGGAGGCGCGGCCGGGTTCCCACGGCCGTCCACACACAGAGCTTCCCCGGGAGAGGACACGGCAGCGATCGCTCCCTAGACACAGCTCCAGACTCGGCTGCACGGGACAGTCCCTGCGAGAGATGTTAACGGCCGTCCGCGGGGAGAGGTGGGCAATGGTCAGGCCCATGAGGCCAAACTAGTGTGGAAAAGGCTGGATGAAAGTAATACAGTTTCTTCACTGGGAATCCTTAGGCCCTTTACCGTCCTACCACGCAGCATGCAACGCTAAGAGGTCTGATCTGTGCACATAAAGTGTGCTTTCCGAATACTCTTCTGGTCAGAGAGTGCTGGGAATAGTTGCAGGAAGTGGAGTTTGCAGAGTGCTGTTCGAGATACACCTTTAGCCAGTCCACATTTTGCCAGAAGAATCAAGGCACTACTAGTATAAGAGATTACACTGTATCAAGAAAGAGAGCCCTAGCTGGTTTGGCTCAGTGGATAGAGAGTCAGTCTGCGGACTGTAGGGTCCCAGGTTTGATTCCTGGTCAGGGCACAGGCCCGGGTTGCCGGCTTGATCCCCAGTAGGGGGTGTGCAGGAGGCAGCAGATCAATGATTCTCTCTCATCACTGATGTTCCTATCTCTCTCTTTCCCTCTCCCTTCCTCTCTGAAATCAATAAAAATATATTTAAAAACAAAAAAGAAAGAGAAGGGCTCAATAAAAAGGAAAGAGAAAGATAAGGGTTTATGATATCTCAAACCCAATAAAGTAAACTTTATTTTCCTTTTCTGTGGAATGAATAGTATTGTTCATGATGACACATTAAACATGATAAGCACATGTTTGAAAACCAGTCCTGAATGGGGAGCAGACATACTACGTAGGTCATAGAGCGTCTGCAGCAGCTAAACACAAAGGTGGGAAGCGTGGGGTGAAGACGATGGCATCTACCGAACAGGGGAGGGGCCCGCACGGGGACTGGGACTCCGACAGCGACAGCCCCTCAGCGTGCAGCGGGAGGGTGAACCTCGGCCTGTGAACGGGGACCCCCGCACGCACGGTACCTTCGATCTGGTCTCCCGGCGTGAATGTCGTCCGGGCCACTGTCACGCTGTGGACGGGGTCGGGGAGCGGGGCGTGGCCGTGTCTGGGGACCATGTCCCCGCAGGACTCCGTCACTCTGCCGCTGGGATAACCCGCCACCAGGCCGAGGCGCAGCAGCAGCAGGAGGGCCCCCCGGTGCGTCCCGGGAACTGCCATCTGCACAGGAAGATGAAACAGATGAACGATAGAAGCTTCCACACGCAGGACAGGGGAGCTAGAGAGCCACTTGCTTTCAGCCATCAGCTCCCCGAATCCTCCACGACGGGCCACAGAGGAAGACGGCGGGTGGTGTCTCCACGGGCTGGACCCCAGCTCCACCTCTTACGCGGTGAGGCTCGGAGCAAAGCCCCCCCGAAAGCCTGCACAGCCTCACGGCTTCCTGCTCCGGCGCCGAGACAGGACGAAGACAGCTGGGAGTCTGACCGGGAGTGACTGGGGAAGGACCAACTCGTCCAATAAAACCAGAGGCTTTATTCCGAGTCACCTAGAGAGCTTAGCGAGCTCACAGGAGCTGCTGCTGGATGTAAATGCGTCCCCTGCGCGCATCTGGCCCCTTCTCCGACCCCCCTGCCCCCTGCGCTAACCATGATGGCAATGGGGGGTGGGGGGGATCTTGGAAAGTGACGGCGACAGACCACCCATTGCAAGAGGCAATCTTTCTGTTCCCTGCGGCCCAGAGGCCTCGGATTAGGAAGCGCCATTGTCAGCCAGGTGTTTCTCCTGCATCCAGGTGAGGCCCTCCGGCCATCGGCCTCACAGGCACCACCGGCCTCACAGGGACCACCGGCCTCACAGGGACCACCGGCCTCACAGGGACCATCGGCCTCACAGGGACCACCGGCCTCACAGTGACCACCGGCCTCACAGGGACCACCGGCCTCACAGGCACCACCGGCCTGACCGGCACTGGCTCCTCTAGCCCACCTCCCTGTGCACGTCTAACCCAAACCCGCAAACCATCCCGGGCTGGGGATGAACGGCTGGGACAGGTTACTTGGTGGTGAGTAAAGGCAGCGTGTGGGCAGGCTGCTGATGGGAAGAGCCTACAAAGCAGCTCATTCTCCATAAAAATAGGGTTTCCGCACGGCCGGCGTGGCTCAGCGGTTGAGCTTCGACCCATGAACCAGGAGGTCACGATTCAATTCCCGGTCAGAGTACAGGCCCATGTTGTGGGCTCCATCCCCAGTGGGGGGCATGCAGGAGGCAGCCAAGAACTGCGAGGAATGGGCCTGAGAGGGTTTCCCACTCAAGCACGGTTCTCAGGTCCCTTTGCTGGGGGCAGACCTGCCTTTAGGACCAGGTAATATTTGCTTGAGAAGATCCGAGTCATGGCTTTCACCAGGGGCCTTGGCCCAGCCACCACAAAACTAAAGGCAGGACGGGCCAAGCGCCTAGAGAATGACCGTGTGGGCGGGGTCGGTCCCTTCTCACAGACAGTCATTGGGCGCTGACTTCTGTGGGTGGAGTGGCAGCGAGGCTGGGTCTCTGCCCTCTGCTGTGCACGAAGGAGCTGAATACCATCCGTGAGGTCACGGGACCCCTGGCTCAGTTTCCTCATTTGCGGAACCCCGCCCGTGAGCCAGAATAAACGCAGGGCCACCTCCCGCCTCCCAGGATGATTCCAGAAGGCACGGTGGACACGCAGGCTGGGAGTCGTGAGAGGGAAAAGCAGAAGTCGGGAAGGGAAGTGACTCAGAGGCGCCCACCTGCCAGTCACTAGGAAAATAGGACATGTCCTAGCTGGTGTGGCACAGTGGATAGAGCATCGGCCTGTGAACTGAAGGGTCCCGGGTTCAATTCCAGTCAAGGGCACATGCCCGGGTTGCGGGCTCAATCCCAGTAGGGGTGTGCAGGAGGCAGTCGATCCATGATTCTCTCATCATTGATGTTTCTATCTCTCTCTCTCTCCCTCTCCCTTCCTCTCTGAAATCAATTTTTTTTTAATTTACTTAAAAAAAAGAAATAATGCCCTGACTGGTTTGGCTCAGTGGATAGAGCATCAGCCTGGGGACTGAAAGGTCCCAGGTTCGATCCGGTCAAGGGCATGTACCTTGGTTTCGGGCACATCCCCAGTAGGAGGCATGCAGGAGGCAGCTGGTCAATGTTTCTCTCTCACTGATGTTTCTAACTCTCTATCCCTCTCCCTTCCTCTCTGTAAAAAATCAATAAAATATATTTTTTAAAAAAAAGAAATGAAATATGACAAACAAGGTCAGCGAGGAAATAAATAGGAGCGAGTCCCTGGCTCCAGGTCGGGTGCCACCGCCCAGGGGGAGGCGCTGTTTCCATGTCTGTAGCCAGTGACGCTTCCAGCGATGATTGCAGGACACTCTTCCTTCAAAGGACACATTCACCGCATCGGCCAACCTGGGCCCCGGGACCACGCAGGGGAGAGGGTAGGGGGGTATTTGTGGAAGCGTGTGTGCTAAGCCCTGGACTGTGCGGAGAGAGCGGTGAGCGAGAGGCCGCCTCCCAGCCAGCGGGACCACCTTCGCGGCACAGGAGAGGGCCGGGCCGGGCGTGGGCGCTGCAGCGCGCAGACTGTTAGGGCGAGACCTGCTCTAATTCACCTTCCTGTTCGTTCTGTTCGGGGCAGAAAGAGATTATCGGGGACCAGCTCCGATGATCAGAACTGTGAGTCCTGCTCTGTTAACCTGATGGTTCTGTTCGATTAGAGCAGCGGTTCTCAACCTGTGGGTCATGACCCGTTTGGGGGTCAAACGACCCTTTCACAGGGGTCGCCTAAGACCATCAGAAAACACATATATAATTACATATTGTTTTTGTGATTAATCACTATGCTTTAATTATGTTCAATTTGTAACAATGAAAATACATCCTGCATATCAGATATTTGCATGACGATTCATAACAGTAGCAAAATTACAGTTATAAAGTAGCAACAAAAATAATTTTATGGTTGGGGGTCACCACAACATGAGGAACTGTATGAAAGGGTCGCGGCATTGGGAAGGTTGAGAACCACTGGATTAGAGAAAGCACACCCTCGCCTGCTGGGAGCTGTGCGCCCTGGGACAGGGGAGCTCACATCGGAATGTGGTCCATCCTCCGGAGAATTGCCTGTCATCATGGAAAGATTGACAACCTCGTGGCCGAAATGATCTAGTCCCGGAGGCACCTGCTCTGTACAACCCCCAGGCCCTATGGCCTGTCATCTGGTCCCGGGTGCCCGGAGCGCCCACCCTCCTGTGCCCTCCCCTGCCCCCCGCCCCCGCCCCCAGCCCGCGTGACTTGTAACCTGTGATTATCCCGCATCTACTTTCCCACGCCTGTAATCCCTACTTCCCCACATCATCTTTGCCCTTCTACCCAATGTAAGCAGCTGGCTTATGGGGGTTGAACTGGCTCAAGTAGTGACAGGCAGCCCGGTCGCCTCGGTTGTCCGGTTACATTTCCACTGGACATCACTGCTCCCTCCCCGGGGAGATAGGCAAGTCCCGCGAGGAGCAGCGTTGCACAATGAGCAATGTGAGTGGGGGCATGATTGTGACAAAGGCTGCCGTGTGCATGAGCCTAATTCAGAAGGCCCAGCCACTCTCCGAGTCTGGGAGGCCAGGCAGAGAGCTCGCTCAGGAACCAGCGCTCCTGAAGAACCAGGGTCAATTCCTAACTGTGTTTTAGTTCAACGTCTACAAACACTAGGTTGTGGGTAAATCGGTAAATCATAGCTGCCCTGTATCTACCACCCCTGCTGCCTTCCCGGCACCGGCAGGTGCTCACTTCTGACACTATTGCGGTGAGACAGCTGGAACGCTCACCTGCTCCTGTTAACGTAAAAAACCCATTGAAACCTGTAAAGAATTTTTGTGAGTTTATTTGAGCCAAACTGTCGACATATGCCGGGAAGCAGAACCTCAACGAATTGAGATAATGCTCCAGAGAATGACGGGGTTACATTTGGATTTATACATTTGCAAACAAAGGAGGGACATAGGTGGGTTACATGAAATTCATTGGTGATAGACTAGAGAGGCGGGAGAAAGCAAGGCAGAGGGGGGGTGGGAAACCCCTGGGATTGGATAAGAAGTAAAATGATGGACACATGCTTAGGTCGGTGCAGGAACAATTAACATGATAATGACGGAATCTGTGGTATCTGTCCTGGCGCCCAGCACATTTGGCTGTGCCCCAGGGGCTCCAGAAAAAGGGAAGTTACAAGTTACCCAGACATTTCAAGGGTATGTTATCATAGATGCAAAAAGACAGATAGGCTCAGTTAAGGTAAAGGTTGACCTTGTCAGTGAAGATACCGGCCTAGGATGTAACTGCCCACCATCACTGCTTTAGTTAAAGTTTAATTTCAGACCATCCTTGTGGTGGCTTTAGGTCTGAGTTTGCAAGACCGCCATGCAGGCCTCCCCTGAGCTGGTCAGGTCAGCATGTGGCCCCTTTCGTCCACACTCCTGCGCGGAGCCTCCCAAAATAGTCCAGACCCTTGCTTTCCGCTTCCCCGGCAATTTAACTCGCACGTCCTACAAACCCCCAAATCCAGGATTAATTGACCTTGAGAGCTGAATCTCAAACTGCAGGGAAACTGAAAAATAGGCCAAGTATTTCCACTTCCCCAGTCGACGATGTCTCAGGCTCTGTTCTCACAGCGGGAAGCACAGGGAAGTCGATTTTAAGAAATTAACCACTGAATTGGTCCCGGTGGGAAAATGATTTCCTCCCACCCTTCTAGGTTCCTCCGGCTGCACTGACAACCAGGTGAACACCGGGCCGGTCAGCAGGAGGAAGACAGGTGCCGCCCAACCCAGAGCCCGAGTGCGGGGCCGGTTCGGCGGAAGCCATCACCTTCACTGCCAGCCTCAGCTGGAGGCAAAAGGAGAGCTTCCCTGAGCCTGTCCGTGTCTTCCTGCAGCTACACTAACTGACCGGGATGTCAGGGCGACCCCCTCTTCCCACCCCTCAGGGCACACGCTCCCGCCAGAGGCACCAGCCCACGGGACCCCTCACTGTTTTCCCGTCCCCTGCAGACCCCTGGACGCACAGGGGCCACGCTACCCGACCAGCTCAGAGGCCTGAAGCCACCACAGAGGTGGCCTGAATGGGAACTTGCTGAGTACACGCAGTTGGTGGCGGTGGGCATGTCCTGGGCTAGAATCTTCGTGGCAAAGTCAGCCTCTACCTTGACTGAGCCTGCCTGTGTCTTTGGCATCCAGGGCAGCATTCCTGTGGAAAGTCAGGCTAAAAAAAAATCCCCTTTTCCAGACCCTCGGGGCACAGCCTGTGGGCGGGCACAGAGCCTGGAATCCTCTCCTTGTTATTGTTATCGCGTTAGTTGTTGGCTATTAACTCCCCTGTTCCCACTTCACCTTTTACCCCATCCCAGAGGCCTCCCCGCGTTGCTTTCTCTGCCTCTCTAATCCATCCCCCATGGAGCTCACCCAACCCACTTCTGTCTCCGCCTTTGATGTAATGTATGAAACAAGGAGAGGGACTGCCTTTCTCCGGAGCATGACCCCAACCCATTCAGCTTTCTGCTTCCCCGCAATGGTCCGTTTGGCTCAGATAAACTCGTAAGAATTCTTCACAGGTTTGGACGTTTCTTACGGCGACCACTTAAAATGCCATCAGCTACTGCGCCCTGAGAGCGAACAGTATGGCCCTGGAAGTCATAGACCTGGGCCGAGCCCAGCGGTCACCGAGGGACCTCGGGCAAGTGACCTAAGCTCACCGGGCCTTCGCTCTCTCGTTCTGAGAGACGGTGGGAGCCACATCCGGGGCTTCCGTGAAGATAGCAGAGCCTCTGTGAACCCTCCGCACAGTGCCCCCCATAAAGATGGACCTGCGCCTTCGGTGTGGCTCAGTGGACAGAGCACCGCCTGCGGACCAGAGGGCCCCGGGTTCGATTCCGGTCAAGGGCACATCCCTCGGTTGCAGGCTCCTCCTCCCTGACTGGGCCCTGGTCAAGACGCGTGCAGGAGGCCACCAATCAATGTGTGTCTCTCACATCAATGTTCCTCTCTATCTTTCCCTCCCCCTCCCACTCTCCCTAAAAATCAATGGAAACACATCCTCGGGTGAGGATTAACAACAAGAAGATGGACTGAAATCCCGCCCGACTCCACCACCTGCGGGACCACTCTCTTTCAGAGCCTCCACCCACGCCCTTGTCGCTAATGAAAAACCCATCTCGTTTTCCTCCCACAACCGGAGATGCGCCTTTGGGCCAATTCCTGGAGGCGCCACCCCGTCCTGGTGGATCTGGTCACAGAAGCCAGCAGCCCCCGTGGAACGGCGCAGGTGGCGACCTGGTAGGACTCATCCCTTCACACTAAACCGTCCTGAAAGGCTGGCTCCTGATGTCAACAAGCCGACAGGCCAGGTCTCATCCCCGCCCTGCCCACCCCAGGCAGCTCCCTCTGCTCCACCTTTTAATTCCGAGGAAAAAGAAGATCTCTGAACTGAAGATGTTAGCTTAGTGAAGCAACACTCCTGACAACTCATTTACAAACGGAAACACCCCCAGTGCCCCTGGAGCAGCGTGGCAAGATGCAAAAAAAAAAGGGGGGGGAAATTAAGGGCAGAGATCACAGCTTGGCTCTGGGAACATCTAAAGCCGCACCCGGCGGGGGTGGGGGTAGGGGTGGGGGGAGCTAAAATTCCTGCCTTAAAAGGCACTTAAAAATAAACAAGTGAGGCCCTAAGTCACCCTCACGCAGGTGACTATGTCATTTGGAGCGAATATAAAAGGGAGTTCCCGCAGTTTAAAAGTTAAACCATGAAACACGTGGGTGAACAGTCCCTGCCTGTCAGGCTCCCACAGCTCCGCTCTCAGCCTTCCCAGGGGACGAAAGCTCACAAAGTCAAAGTCACCGGACCGGTCAGCCCCGCCGGGCGGTGGGCGCTCGGACCTCCAGACCGGCTCCAGGAGGCCGTTTGCTCACGGAGCGCCCTCCCCTGCTCCCCCCCACCCCACCCCGGCCAGTGCTGTCACCTGGCCGAGTTCAACTTTTACAAATGTTTCCACGCTTTGCAAAGAGCTGGGAGAAGCGGAGAAGACACCCTTACCTTGGGAAGGAGGCAGGCTGCCGGCCAGCTTCCGGCTCTGCTACAACTCGGATCGCGTTTCAGCCGGTGGGAGGGGCCAGCGGATCCCCATGAAGGCGGGGAACTTCCCAAACCCAAGCCCAAGTCCAGCTGCAGAACTCGACCTGCAAGATGGGATCCTTGAGGGCGCCGGGTCTGAGCTGCACATTCTGTTTCACACCAGGAACTTTTTTCTTTCTTTTTTTGCCAACTGGTCATTGTTTTTCTGAGAGAATCGGGTTTTTGTCTTTAGCTACAAAAGCATGTGAAAACAGGCTATAGGATGTGAAGGCAAACGAAAGAACCTATTTGCCATTAGGTAGGGTTAACCAGATGCAGCAAATTAAAATATAAGACACCTGATTAAATTCGAATTCCAGATAACCAATCATTCCTCAGCGTCAGTGTTGTCTTACGCAATATTGGCTGCGAGTTATATTTTTTTAAGGGATCCGTGGCTTTTCTGAAATTCGAATGTACCCTGGCAGCCCTGTCATCCAGGAAATAACAGTGAATAGCAAACTCTCCCACTCACTTCAAAAGACACAAGAGAGTCGGACTGCAGAGAACTGAAACTTGAACGTGTGAACGACACAGAGCAAAGGAATGATTTTACTTTGGATAATGTGCCCTGAAGTTGAGGAGTGCTGTTTCTTTTTAAGCCTTGAATCTTGTTTTTTACAAGATTCTTTAGAGAGAAAAAAAAATGGGGCTGGGAAGGGAAGATGCATGTGACACAGACGCCCGGCCCGGCCTCACACAGTGACTAACACACACGCGCAGACGGGAGGCACGGCCGGGCCTGTGAGCTCCGTAAACTCTAAAGGATCCTAAGAGGCGATTCAGAGGGGGGAGCGCGCCACTGCGTTCATCTCTCTCCTCAGAACTAGTCCCCACTAACCAGAGCCCCTCGGCCCCTGCAGGGTGAGCGGAGGCTGGTTTCCACGGCTCCCAGTGGCTCCCAGTGGCTCCCAATGGGAGAGGAGAGCAGAAGTCAGCTGACCCCAGAGCCCCTGCTGCCCCTCGGGCCACGGCGCCTGCAGCTAGAGCAGACGCTGTCCAGGAGGAGCCCCACTGAGTGACACTGTGTGAGCCAAAAGCGGAGGAGAAAGAGCCATGAAGCAACAGCTCTCACTGTGTGATCGCAGTCTCTCACCCTAAGCAGCACCACTCGGGAAGGAAAGCGTTAATGGTGAGGCTTAGCACCGCCCCAAACCACCCTCTCAGGCTTATCACTCCCCCAAAGGCCCGCTCTAGTCCCCTATCACCGCCTCCCAGCTCCCCACGGCCTGCTCTTTCCTCACCAGCCACTGGCCGGCTGTCAAGAGGAAGCCAAACTGACTGTGATGTTCCGATGTTCTGTGGAGCCTGGGCCCTGAGAAGTGGGCCCACCGGCCTCCCCCGGTCAGGCCTCCACATCAGTCCTCACCGTGGGGTCTCAGGACCACTCTGCGACCCGTTAAAATCACTGTGACCGGCTGGTGCGGCTCAGTGGGTCGAGCTATGGACCAGGAGGTCACAGTTGGATTCTGGGTCAGGGCACATGCTGGTTGTGAGTTTGATCCCCAGTAGCGGGCGTGCAGGAGGCAGCCGATCCATGATTCTCTCATCATTGGTGTTGCTCTCTCTCTCCCTCTCCCTTCCGCTCTGACATCAACAAAAATAAAAAGAGGCTGTGGCAGCCAAGAGGACACCTTGCCGCCTGCAGAGAAGAAGACAGGGGTGCTGCCCAGCGGACGGAGAACACATCGTAGACAGAAAAAAAGGGGCGACAAACACCACTTGTTTCACAGAATGTGTGGGGCAGCACCGTGGGCTCCAAGGAGGAATGATGACCCCAGAAGCCCAGGGAGCCCCCCGGACACGGTTCCCCCTTCAACCCGCCCAGGGAAACGGGACCGGGGCTGTGGCGGCCCCGCAGCGCCCCAGGTGAAGGCAGGAGCAGGCCTTTCCCACAAGCCTCCGCTGCAGGGAACCTGCGGGCAAACACGGAGCTGAGCTCCTGCCGAGGCATCGAGAGCAAACCAGGCGAACAAGCCCGACTCCACCTGGGCCAGGCGAGCTGAACCGTGTGGGCAGAGCAAGGGGCCCGGAAACGGGGCACGGGCGGGGGGCAGTGGGCCAGCGAGTCTGAGAGTCTGACGGATGAGTCTGGATGGAGCCCAGGGCCTGGTGCCCTTTCATGCGAGACCGGGCTGGCCTGGGCAAGTCAGGGCCTCCTGATGGGTAACAGGCCAGGAGCTCCACACACCCCTCAGGCTTCCCAGACGCCCAGGCAATGCCCAGCTGTCACCTCCCACCTCTGGGGGCACAGCTGCCCCAGGCCCCACCCACGCTCAGGTGGAGGGGCCACCGGAGGCAGGGATCCCCGGAGACAGAGGTCACTGGGGGCCACTTTTGAGTACCTCTGCCTCAAACTGACTTATGGAAACCAAGCCACTGGGGGTACGCGGGTGGCCCTCGCGCTGCCTGAACAGAGGGCCGCGTAGGAGGGAGGCAGGCGTGTTTGACAGCGAAGCCGCTGTGAGTCTGAAAGCGCAGGGACCTGGAGGGACTAGCAGACAGCCTGGGCCAGACCAGCCTGGCCAGGAAGCCCAGGTTTGGAGTCAGTAACTGCGACCGTCCACAGGGGGGCAGTAGCTGCCAGGAAACTGAGTAAGACCAGCTGAGGGCCAGGTATCTTCCCACCTGGCCACCCAGGCTGTTTTCTGTCTGATTATTGGAAGGAGGGGGGTGACTGGTATCTTTTTACCCACCACCCCCAGCACGACCCACACAGCTCACTGGATCCCTCCCGCCGCTCCTAGGACAGCAGCGAGGTCTTAGGGAGGGGAAGGGGGCCTGAAACAGGTATTGGGGAGACCCTCCTTAGCAGATGCGGTTCCGGGGCTACCTTACATTAAAACAGGCTTTACACCTGCTCTGGGGAAGAGCCAGGTGGTTCAGAGTTGACACGAATGGGGGACTCCCAGGGGGAGAGAAGGTATCAAATATAAGGGGGATGTCGTGTCTACAAACAAGAGATATTAAGGAGGAAGGCTTGGTGCCGTGTACACGCCTACACCACACTCACAAGTTCACATGCATGCTGCACAGAAGTTCAGCGTTAGCGTGACCAGTCGGAGCAGGCAGATCTGACATGGACGAAACAGGACGAAACCCTGTGGATCAGAATGCGCCAGGGAAGGTTGTATTACCAGAGAAGCTTGATTACCTGTGCCAGGTGTAAACTCAGAAATATTTTTTAAATATATATATATTTTTTAATTCAGAGAGGAAGGGAGAGGGAGAGATAGAAACATCAAATGATGAGAGAGAATCATGGATCAGCTGCCTCCTGCACGCCCCACACTGGGGATTGAGCCCACAACCCAGGTAAGTGCCCTGACCGGGAATCAAACCATGAGCTCCTGGTTCAGAGGTGGATGCTCCATCACTGAGCCACACCGGCCGGGCACCTCACCTGGATTCTTGTGATGTGCCCCTCGCCACCCTCCCTGCTCACACCTTTGCCCTCCTGCAGACCGCTGTCCACCAAGCAGCCACAGTCTGTTCTGAAGCCCCAGGCGGGGCCTCACTCATGTCACCCAGAGTAACGCCAAGTCCTTCGAATTGTCTACAAAACTCTGTAGTCAGGCCTCTTCCCTCCCTGACCTTCTCTCCTACTCGGCTCTGGCCACGTGGACTGTTCAGACTTTGTACTGACCAGCGATGTGAGTACACAGGGTGCTGGACAAATAAGAGGGGGACTCTGCGGGGGGCGGACCAGAGCTGCTTCCCAACAGAGGCCTGCACACCTCCCCGTCCTACAGCTCCGAGGGGGTGATCCCACCCCAGGCACTAAACTCCAGCCTTGGGGATGTTCTCTAACGCTGGGGTTTGAAGGGTTCACAACTGGGAGTGAGTGGGCCAACACCTGTTCTCCACACCCTCCGCCGCCTCGCCATTGGCCACAGCTGCCTGCTGACATCTGCCAACAGGACAGTTAAAAATAGGCGGGGACACCCTCAGAGCAGTCGGTGATGGTACAGCCGGCGCGTTTGTCTGTCAGGTCAGTTGGCTCCAAACGTCTTTGCTTGTGAACCCTTAAAAGAAACTGGAAATGCTATGTATCCTTCACGAATTTTCTGAGTTGACAACCTAATATTTTTTAATATGTCTACAAGTGTCTTTATCCATGGATTAATATTACTGTAGTGCTAGTCTGAGTCAGGGTTTAGCTACGCCTGTTTTTCATTTATATTTATGGCACTAAAACACCTTGTTCTTTTTTATATATATATAAAATATATTTTTATTGTTTTCAGAGAGGAAGGGAGAGGGAGAGAGAGAGAGAAACATCAACGATGAGAGAGAATCATTGATCGGCTGCCTCCTGCATGCCTCCTACTAGGGATCGAGCCTGCAACCTGGGCATGGGCCCTTGACCGAAATCGAACCCGGGACCCTTCAGTCTGCAGACTGACGCTCTATCCACTGAGACAAACCAGCTGGGGCTAACCCTTGTTCTTATACATCAGTAGATGACAATGAAAGTGTTGTTAGCAAACCTTAAAATATACTAAGTTCGGGCACAACCTGAGAGAGAAGGAAAATCGTGGGAACGTGAAGTCATTGGAAGCAAAAGGAAAATGCTTCGAGGAGGGAGGGGTGGAGGAGGTCAGATGCCACTGAGCGAGTGAGCCAGGTGAGAAGTGGGCAGCATCCTGAGCGCCACTGGCACCCTCAGCCGGGGCCACGGGGACAGAGCGACGCATCGCCACGGGAAGCAGTTGTGGCCTCCGGGGGCCGTTTGGCAATGCCTGAAGCCATTGTCGGGTGTCGCAGCCGGTTGCAGTCCTTACCAGATGCCACAGACGGGACAGGAGGGGAAGGGCGGGGAGGGTACTCCAACAGTATTATTGAGCAAACACCACGGGATCCTAGCTGGGCAAGGAGGGATATGAATAAGGCAGACGAGAGCTGAGAAGAAAACGCACGCGTGAACAAACATACAGAGGAGAACTTTTTATCCAAGGCAAGATGGGAGCACGGCCAGTGACTTCCATCCGTGTGACAAATATGCAAGCAAAGGCATGAACTGTCTCAGAGCAGGGCGTGCAGAACCAAGCTTTCTCATCAGTGACTGTGTAACATGGGCCCCCTCTGTGGAGGCCTCCTGAGGCTCACCCAAGCTCAGGGGGAATTTTACAACATATATTGTTAAGGTTAAAACATGGGCTTTACTGCCTTGGCCAGTGTGGCTCAGTGGGTTGAGCAGCATCCCATGCACCAAATGGTTGCTGGGTCAATTCCCTGTCAGGGCACTGTGTTGCTC